TGAGGCCCATCTCTTGGCAAACAGTTTCTTCAGCGCAACCTGACGTCTCTCGGTATCTAGCCATAGGTTGCGAGAACCAAACCCTAGGTCTTCTTCTCCTAGGTAGACCAAGACTTGCGAAGCGCCTGAGTATATTTTTGCCATGATGGAGACCTGCTGGTTTCGCTCTTGCATGTTGCTTTGATCAATAGCGAGTGCATCGACCCATAGCATTCTTTCCTGTGAGGTAGATCTCAGCCTGCGCAACGCAGACGCGCAGCTTAGTGTTACTGGCAAAATTGACGTTTGTTCCTCTCCAAAGTAAGCGCAATGAATCCGTTGTGACAAGCTAGCGTCCCCATCTTCGGACGCCCACGTGTAGGAAAGGGCCTCGTATTCGATGTCATCATCCAGGTTCGTATGGAGGAGATCGCATCGGATAGGATCGTGAAATTCGCCGGGGTAGAGACACAAGAGGCGAATATCTTCACCCTCGGAGGGGTCCAGCGGCCGGTATCGGAAGCTGTGGAAAATTTGGGGTTGGTTGAAATGCGTGGGTTGATCGAGTGGCATCGCGACGCGCTCTTCGGAAAGCGCGTGCGAGTTCTTGGTATGACTGAAGAGAAATTCAGTCCATGCGTACGCGTATGTCGATCCTGCAGATCGGGTTGGCAATATGCCGAGTTGTGGTAATGGAGCGCATCGCGACAGGTTTTGCCGAGGCCGGGCAGATAAACCTCGGTGCGCAACATATATGTATATCGTGAGATCTAAAAATACACAGGGTTTGCGAGGAGAGAACAGTGGATAACTTGCGGCATGACGCCGAGTGTGCGTGCGGTGCTTTAGGAGGTTGCTGTGGACGCGTGGCTGTGGCTGCTCGGCTGTGGCTGGGCTGTTGATGACGCAAGCCTCATGCCTTCGATGCAGTCGGACTAATGTGCAAGCACAATACCATCGAACCGCGATAAGGTCATCTACTTCTTGGTCCTGCTGTCAGAAAAGCCATTTGAGTAAGAGTGCTAATGGCTCGGCTTTGCGAAAACCTCCCATAGTGAGCTGCTGTCTCGCAATCTGAACCAAAAAAGCAACTGCACAACGTTTCAAGTAGCGCGATAATGTTGGCACATATGTATGCATTGTGCAAATATATACAGAATAGGTATATGTAAAGGTGTAGAGAGGTTAAGTTATAGACATGAAGGTGTCCAAACGGACGAGCAAGCAGCCGACACTGAGCCTGGCATGTGCCCACACTTCCGCAAAGTGCTTATACAACAGGCCATCCACTGGACCAGTTGATCTTGTTGATACCGAACTTCTTCTGGCCATCGCCGTAACCAATGCGGGTGTCGACGTAGTGGTAGTATAGTACAGGGCCCTCCTTAGGGTCGTAGTAGACACCCTGGCCACCGGGTCCGTAGACAAAGCCGTGGGACTCCAAGACAGTGGTACCGCCACCCTTGGTGCAGTCGACACCGTTCTTGTCCTTGAAGCCACCAGTGGCGCTGGTAGACCTGCAGACTTGAATCTTGTACTCCTGGCCCGCGGCAGGCCTGTTGGCATCGAAGCCGCAGCACTTGCCGACGGAGAAGAATAGGTAGTGGTAGTTGCCGTTCAGAGCAATGAACGGAGCTTCCTGGGCGTGCTCTCCCTCGGGCTTGAAGGCGATGTTGGTCACAGTGGAAGAGCTGGTCTTGACGGGTGGGTTGGCCATGTTCTGGACGAAGAGGTCGTTCCAGAAGGAGCCGAAGGCCATGACGAACTTGGATCCATCCCAGTATAGCGCACCATCAATGGCGTTGTAGTTCTTTCCCGCGCTCGACTGAATGCCAGTGGCACCAAGGTCGGTCCAGGTGTTCATGTCCTTGCTAGTAGCAACACCAATAGCGGAGTTCTGGACTCCGAAAGATGATACAGTGTAGTACAGGTAGTATGTGTCGCCGACCAGGGTCACGTCAGGAGCCTGAGTTTGTTAGCTCGTCTTCGAGTAAGCGTATATATGACAGAACGTACCCAGAGATCGTCCTTGCCAGCCAGGTTGATCTTGGAACCAGCGGGGATCGCGGCACCCTTGTAGGACCACGGACCGGTGATCGAAGGCGCGGTGTGAATAGCAATCTTGCCACCCGTAGAGAAACGGTAATAAGTGCCATCGGCGCGGCGGATAAGGGCCGGGTCGTGAGCGTTGTTGCAGATACCGGAACAGGCCATGGGGTCAGCATAGCCGTAGACTGCGGTAGCAGCCGAGAGCAACGACGCGACGATAGAGTAACGCATCCTGGCGATTGGTAGCGAATGGAAGAGGAAACAAGAAGCGAAAGATGATTGAAACAAACAAACAGTGCCCGGTCATCATCCTATATATTACCGGTGGTACTTTTAGACCTCTTGAAGATTCCCAATGCGGACCATCCCGAAACCTTTGGCGTGGACTAGACGTGGAGAGGTGAGATTGCCAGTCCGACGCTGACCTGCATTCTGAATGGTGGAAACGACATGCTCGGTATGTGCATGAAGAAGCCGGTACGGAGAATTGGTCAAAAAGTGTCTAGGCCTGCATGTCCAGGCAATCTAATGTGAGGGGTGCAGTTGGTGTTTCACGTTTTGCAGGTCTGCCGCGATGCCTGACTGGTGGATCGTACGAGAAAGCGCTCCACGTGTAGAGGCTCAAGGGAGGGGCCTGCACTGTGTCGGATAGCGACCGGGTCGAAATTAGTTAAGTGTTGACACGCGCCACATCCATACCTGATCCGCCCACACGTGTGGCTGTCCGCACGTTACGGCACGGGCAGAGTGAAACGTGCCGGGTCCAAGGGCTGGGTTTGTGGCGCGCTATGATATCGAGCAGTTCCAGAACTGATCTCCTCGCTCCAACAGCCTCAAAAGGGTCGACAAGACGTCGGGAACTGGATGGAACGACCTGCGGATGTTGTGGGAGTTGCAAGTAGTAAGGGCATCATGTTCGTGGTGGTGAAATGTTCCGAGGCTTCTCTCCTAGCGCCACATCAGCCGCCGCTAGCTCCTTATGGCCAATCTGTCTCCTGCTTCTTCAGGCTACCATCCTCCGCAAAGATCTTCGTCGCGCATGCATCCATCGCAAAGCCAAAGGCGTCCATCGAACTCTATCGCAATGGCGAGTGTACAGCATCCGTTTGTTGATTCTCTATGGTCATGCGGGCCGACATAGATCTACCGAATCTGGAAGATCTCACCGCTCACCGCCGAAACAGAACTAGTGGGAGTCTATGGATGTCAGACGGGGATACTAGGGGCATAGTTCTTACTTACCTCCATCAACCCTTAGCTCTGTTGCTATCCGATTACTATTACAAGTTCAACACCGAAGACCGAGACTGTCATCTCAACACTATACTTGGAGCGCCGAAAGGGCTCGGCAGAATGAGGCTTGCAAGCACGGGCGAGGGAACAGCAACGGCAACCAACGTAGTATTCATTTCTCATCATTGCGGTATGACAGATTTGATGCGGAAAATATTGCTACGAACGAATGACTGATTACATATATCCAATCTAACTCTTGCAAACGAGTAAAATGATGCTGACGTTGACTCGAGAAATCTTATCACAAGTCTGACCGCTTCGTTCCGAATCGACCCCAGATCGCGCCATGAATACACCCTAGGGAATGAAGACGTCGAAAGCAGACACTGGCGCGCCACTTTGACTTACACCGCCTCCAGGGATGTACACCTTCCCTTCCACGCCGACAGCATACGTGCCATGCCTAGGAAGCTTCATCTTTCCAGCCCTCGCCCATCGATCCCGCACGGTATCATAAAACTCGACCTGATCAAAGACTCCGGTCTCCGATAGCCTATTGCCCTCACCGCCGAAGACGTAGATGTCCTTCCCGATGACACCAGCCGCGACACCACCCCTAGCCGTAGGCATGCGCGCCGAGCTAGTCTTCCAACCAGCTTCCAGATCACAAAGATCGAGGATGAAGACCGTGTCGCGAACATTTTCCTGTCCGCTGTCCCGTCCACCGAGGACGTACATCTTTGAGCCCACAACTGCAGCTCCAGCGTGGTCTCTGGGTGCCGGTATATATTTGGCAGCTTCTGGAACGGCAAGCCATGTCCTGGTCTTTGTATCGAAGATGGAAACAACAGAGACACTGCGCTGGCGGCCATGTTCGACGAGCTCAAGCTCCGACATGCCGGCCGCGAGATAGATCTTGGACTGGTAAGTGCCTACGGCCGCACTACCTCTTTCTTCGCCGGTGGGTAGGCCTGGAATCGATTCCCATGCATCTGTGAGAGGGTCGTACATCCATGAGTCTGGTACTGCGCCCCATACCCTTGTTGTCTCGTTGTCCGTCTCTGCCAGGCCACCTAGAACGTATATCTTCCCGTCCACAACGGCTGCGTTGGCGTGGTTGAGACCTCGTGGCATGCTCGCTTTCGTGGTCCAGGTTTTGTTCGTGATTGAGTAGAATTGCATCAGAGGAGTAGTGTCTATGGGTGGGAAGGATGTATTGGATGGGATAATACCGCCAAGAATTACGATAGTAGATGGTGGGAGGAATACTGTGGAGTGTTCCTGACGAGAGAAAAGAGGGATAGGGGCGAGTGATTCCCATACGGGCGAGAGACCCTTGGAAGGCATGGATGATGCAAAAGTAACAAGCCAGGCTATTGCTAATAACATAGGGCTGAAGATGGATAGATACATGGTCGTTGTGTAGGGTTTTGGATGGTTGTTGTGGTAAGTGGGTAATGCAGTATGTTGCAGCTAAGAGGTGAGATGCTTGAGTGTTTATATATTCTTGACATCGCTATAGTTGAGGGAAGACTTACATGGCTATGTTAACGGTGAAGGAGATGTTGAATGTTGTCCTGATAAAGCCGACTGGAAGCCCGCATCTCCGAGTGACGAAATCGGACATGGGCGAAATTTGAAGATGAGCCGGCTGCGCATTACGCCCAGCCGTACCAAGCCTTGGAGAAGAGCGCTTGCAGCGGAACTTGCGAACACTCATTCATCCACCGATATACTTACGCCTCAGCGCTTTGTCGGAATATCTCCTCCGAATGCTCCTTCCAGATCGTAAAATGTGTCTTGCCCTCGAGCGTCCGCAGTCTTCCGCCGCCCAATCTCTCATCGATCCACTGCGCAACCTTCAACGGCGCCTGCGCATCTTGATCACCATGTACTAGCAAGACCCGTTCGCTGTCTACGTCCTTCAGATCAAAGCCCCATTCTCTCGTAAGCGCAGCACCATCCTGCATGCATCCGCCAGCGCCTTGCTTGAAGGCCTCAAGTAATGATGCGACAACGTCGTCAAGATTGGTCTCTCCGCTGTTGTCGCGAAATTGCTCTTTCTCTTCTGGAGTCTTGGCTTGGTCTTCGAGGACACGCTTGAGGCGGGAAGGGTCCCTAGTGAGGTAGGGACGAATGAGGATGTGAGGTAGGAAGACACGGAGGGCCCCTTGCCGTAGCAGCCATGGAGTTATACCCATGAGCCGCCATGATAGATAGGGCACAGTGTCTAGAAGTGCCTCGATGGGTCCAATACCGCACACCACAGTCGCCGCCCGAAGTCGTTTTTGGGGAATGAAGCGTGCGCAGGCCAACGCGTATGGTCCGCCTCCGCTAGCACCGAGCACGCTGAAGCGCTCAATGTTGAGATGGTCTGCGAGGCTCACAACATCTGCAGGCCAGTCAACGAGACTGCGGTCCGCGAGCGTCGAATCTCCACAGCCTGGACGATCCATGGCGATGAGACGCGCGCCGATGTCCCTGCAGAGCTTGTCCCAGCTTCTTCCGACCAAACGACAGCCTGGCAGGCCATGAAAAAGGAAGATGACAGGGTGCGACGAGTTCGTAGATCCATAGGTTGCGAAGCCAAGAGAGCGCCCGTCAGAGAGGCTGAGCACTTGGCATTCGTTGGGTCGGAGTTGCAGTTTGGCCGGATCTGGGGGCGATGAAGGGGCGCGATCTCCGAAGAGTGTAAACATCCTGTCAATGTAAGGTTTGTTGTTCTTGAGGTAACTTAGCGCGCAGTGATAAGACGATGGAAGCAGAAGGTGCGAAGCTCGTGGCCCATATAGCTTTCAACGACGTAAAGTTCCCGGCATCTTGCTGACATGGCGAGATACAGACTTCATAATACATGCGGTGAACGGAACGCCGTTGTATGATGCGCCGATGAAGATGGCTGGCTGTCTCACGGTCTCACATCGCGCGTGGTCTCCTGAGTAAGCATCAACAACTGTTGCCTACTGCACGTGAGACAAAGAAGCCGTCCACGGCAGTCGCGCCAGTAATTAAACAGTCAGGCAATGCTCCCTGAGATATTTCCTTGACATTGCGAGATCGATAACGGTGGTGGTAGTGATCCATGGATGGGTTGACGATGACGCGCGGAGCCGCTAGCTCAGGGTCGGAGGATCGGCACTTAAGCCTACCTAGGTATCTTTAGCATGTGCATCACCCCGGGGCTCCTTCTTTCATCCCACCTGGTCGCATTCGCTGTGTCTATTGCATATCGTCTGTCTTTTTTGTTTCTTGTATTGTCGATACATTCTTGTCCTATTCAATTGCTCTTTTGCATCCTCGGATGCTGGCCCTGTGTTCCGCGGCGCAGCAGTCGCGTTTCTTCCATTTTAGTTTGAGATACCCTCAATAGACATTATGAGCCCCATTATCCGACGCATTGCTGTGCTATTTGTATTCGCTACTTTTGTCATCCTTGCCTTCCGTCAACTTAGCGCCCGAAACGGACTCCCTCTGCCGACCTTCACCTCGTCGACCCGAATCGATCACGCCGTACAATGGAAGAGCATACCGGTGCGAAACCCGGTATCATCGCTAGCTCCTCTCCCCACTGGCGCCCCGGTCGCCATCCCGAGAATCCAACATGAATTTGGCATTGAGACGGAACACACCAAGGCGGAGAGATTGCATAGACAAGCTGCTGTAAAGAAGGCATTCTTACACAGTTGGGGAGGATATAAGACCCACGCGTGGCTACAGGATGAAGTCACTCCGGTAACAGGAGGCTTCAAGAACGGCTTCGGACAGCGAGGAGCAACTCTAGTTGACACACTGGATACCTTGATCATCCTAGGGTTAGAAGAGGAATTTGAGGAGGCTGTACATGCCATCAAGAAGATTGACTTCACCACTGCAGGTGTCGCGCGTCTGAACGTCTTCGAGACTACGATCCGCTACCTGGGGGGTCTTCTAAGCGCATACGATTTAAGCAAGGCGAAGCACCATGCACTACTACACAAGGCGACCGAGTTGGGGGATATGCTTTACGCCGCCTTTGACACGCCGAACAGGATGCCCATCACCCGATGGGACTGGGAGAAGTATGATTGCGCCATGCCACCGACCCACACAGACTAACAGAAATCAGTGCTGCTCTAAACGGCCACCAAGAGGCTGATACGCAAGCGCTCAGCGCCGAGATAGGATCGCTGTCACTCGAATTCACCCGCCTGTCGCAGCTTACCGGCGACGCGAAGTACTACGACGCGATAGCGAGGATCACCGACGTGCTCGAAAAGCATCAGAACCGGACGAAGATACCAGGGCTATTTCCAATACTGGTCAGTCCAGGTCGGGAGGAATACAACGTCGACGGATCCTTCACAATGGGTGGAATGACTGATTCGCTGTACGAATACTTGCCGAAGCAGCACTTGCTCCTCGGGTGTCTGACAGACCAATACCGGAAGCTATACGAGCGCGCCATCGAGCCAGCGAAAGAGCATTTGTTCTTCCGGCCCAGGATACCCCAGGGTGACAACATCCTCGTCTCTGGCGATGCGCGAATCAGCACCTCAGGCACTGTCAAGCTCGAACCCAACGGCCAGCACCTCGCTTGCTTTACGGGTGGCATGGTTGCTTTGGGCGCAAAGATCTTCAATCGGACAGATGAGCTAGACGTCGCTCGCAAGTTAGTGGACGGGTGCACCTGGGCTTATGATACTATGCCTACGGGTATCATGCCGGAAACCTTCCGGATGATGCCGTGCTTTGGAGAGGAAGATTGCGCGTGGGATGTGGAGAAATGGCATGCCTCTGTCAGGTACTCTTACTCCAACAACATCCACGCGGAGCATTATGACGTTCAAGACGTCATCAAGGAAGTGGGACTGCAGCCTGGTTTCTCCAAGATCGGGGACCCGCGATTCTTGTTACGGTAAGTATGCGCATCACTTCCAACATGCGTAGCTAACATCAGTCACAGCCCAGAAGCCATCGAGTCAGTCTTCGTCCTCTATCGTATCACCGGCGACACCACCCTCCAAGACACTGCCTGGCGCATGTTCGAATCCATCAATAACGCCACTCGTGCAGAGTTCGCTCATTCTGCCATCGCCGACGTCACAATACCACAAGGGCAAGAGACACTCAAGTTGGATGAATGTGAAAGCTTTTGGATGGCGGAAACTCTAAAGTACTTCTATTTGATCTTCAGCGAGCCAAGTCTTGTCAGCTTGGACGAATATGTATTGTGAGTATGGCCCTTGTGATGTTGAAGATGACGCTAATGATTCTGCAGCAATACTGAAGCACATCCACTGCGCCGGCCGCATTAGAAAAATGGCATCACCTATCATGAGCGTATATATCAATCTACTAAGAATCTAAATTTACACCATTCGTGTACTACCATAATGGTTTCTACAGAAGTGTATTACCGAAAATGGAATGGTAGGGGCGCGTCACGCCCTCGTTCCCATCAACCCGACATCTGCACATGGGACAGATCATGTTCGTCTCCAAGCTATCGATTAGACACTGCCTTCCAAAGACATGCCCACATGGCGTTTTGACAGGGTCGTTGTCTGGCCTGTTCTCACAGAAGGGCAGATTATAGCTCGCGTGTAAGCGCTCCGTGATTTCCCGCTCTTCCTCGTCGAGGTAGGTGGCAATCGTTGGGCCCTCCTCGTCTGTGGTGCTGCCGAAAGGAAGCCAGCAGAGCGGACATTTCATGTCCTCAGGTTCGATACTGGCAACGTCGACTTCCTCCAGTGTCTCGACGAAAGCGGTGGCGACTTCCACCCGTGTTGTTCGAGTTTGATGGCGAATAGGCCCAAACATTGCTTCAGAGTTTGCCATTTCCCAGTGCAAAGCGTCTTGGATCTGTTCTTGTTCGTATTGCTCCTCGGTCTGTTGGTCGGCGAATAAGTCGGATAAGGCAAGTTGAACTGGTTGATGTAGATAGTGATGTAGATGTTGATGTTGATGGTGATGGTGATGGTGATGGTGGTGATGATGGTGAACTTGCGCAAAAGAACTCGTTAATGTCGGTAAAGGGTGGGAAGACGTCGTCGCGGGGACAACGAGAGCTTGGTGCGTATTTAGATTACCTAGAGTCGGGAGATCCGCGCCCGTGGCGTTCGCGAAGCCGTAGACGAAGAATGGTGCATTTCCGAACAACGCTGCAAGGGGTTCGTTTATCACGCCGCCTAGGCCGGGTAAGACGTGCCCTTGTCCATCTGGATGAGCTCCGTTTGACGGGGACTCTGGTGAGCCGTATGGAACGAGTGTCATGCTCTGGTCGAGCTCGCTCTCTAGCGATTCTAGTGATGGCTCTTCTTCTCCGTTGGATGTCGTTGGCGCTGGGCTTGCATCTGTCGTAGTCGGAGGCATGTCTCCGGTGAGGTCGTCTTGTGTGCTCGGGACAACGGCACCAGACTCATTAGCGGAAGGAGATGGCTGTGGTGAAGTTGATGACATTCTGATATTTCGGTTGGGAGTGAGTGTGGTGAACACCTGGTCGAGGTGTTTCTGAAGGTATATATAAAGCCCGCAGAGGAAGGCAGAAGTGAAGAAGGTCATTTTGGAACACTGTGTGGCTCAGGCGCGAAGCTCTTACGGTGACCTTCACCGGTGAATGCGCTCTTGGCCTGCGGCCTACTCGACCTTGAAAAGTGTCAAGGTAATTGCTTTCCTGAACGATTATCCCTACCAGAACTGCGCGCGGTAATCAGTTCACAACCAAGTTGAAACGAACAATGGGAAACACATTCACTACCCAAAAAGAGTCGGTAGTTCCTACTACTACTCCCTCTGGCAAGCCCGACCCTCTCGTTGCTGTGGAAGCTCCCATCTTGTCTTTTACTGTTGACGAATTCGTATTCGCCTACCTCCAAGGCGTGCGTACCAATTGTATGTTCCACAATACTGGGCGTCCATTTTTAGAGGATGCTGTCTACCATCCACCCTGGGTTGGTACTACAGCCGAAGACATGTACGATGAGATGATCGGGGTCGGCATCAGTCCACTACGATGGTGTCAAGCCAATCTTCCAGAATTGATGTTGAAAGACAGCTTCATCACCCGCGTCGCCCCCATCGAAGACGAAGAACCCAACATCAATTACAAAGGCATGAGTTTCTCACATTGGTCATTCCTAGAGACGTTGAATGAAGCGGATATAGAGCTTCGTTCAGCTATCCCTAGCGCGCATCCTACCGTCAACAAACCAATTCCCGATCGATTCGCGTTGCCGCAAGCCTGGTGTGTAGGCATGCACAAACTAGCGGCCATGCTGGATGAGATGCTCGATGCGGGTATAACACCCTATCAGTACGTAGCGGGCACGCCCATGCTACTTGACTACTCGTCTACCTCTCCATTCATGGTTTGTATGGAGATGGATACTTCTCTTAGGCTACCCGAGTTACAAATCGCCTTTCGGAACCGCTGGATCGTTCAGTATATGATGGACTGCCTTGGTCTTATCTGGAATCA